TCTGCATCACTCTCCTTCAACAAAACAGCAGCAGTGGAAACACTGGGTCTGCACTGAGCAGAGGTGCTCAAGCCTTGGTTTAACAGCTCCTCACTAAAGATCACACTGGTAACAACCTGCATGTTTTCCAAGAGGGAGAAAAATAAACAAGCAGCTGCCCATGATAACTCCTTCAATGTATGTGGAGTGAGGTACACGAGTGGTGGTGTTCATTCCCAAGGAAAAAAAATCACCTTGAAGTATGTATTGTGCCCAGGGATTTTTTAAGCCCAAGAAGCACAATTTGAAATTGTATTGTACAGCTTGGGTAATGGCTAGAGTGCTTCAGAGGCTTGGCACCTCCCTGGAATGCAATGGAAACAGCACTTCCAGGGGTTTTCTAATTGTTAAGAACATTTTTAACCACTTTTTACCCATAACTTCTGGTCAGGAGCCCTTTGCAGCTGTGGCAGTGAGCAACATCACTGACCACAGCATCAGGAATTTTGTGGAAACAGTTAAAACTTGCCACACATGTGCCTCAAGAAAAAGAAGAGAACAGCAGCAAGAGACCACACAGCTCAAGGCAGTCCTGCTGTGGCAGAAGGGAGCAGATGAGAACTGCAGGCTCAAAGCTGAGTTCCAGTCTGGACTGTCAGCTTCCAAGCTTCCCACCAGTCAGAACAGCTGGTTCCCCACTAGCAAGAACTTTTTGTAACTTGATCTTCTACTTCTTTCCCTTCCCCAAGCCAAGCCTCAAAGGATTATGGATCAAGTCCTGTGCTGTAAGAAATAAGTTTATGGATGCTTGTGGACCTGTGGAATGATACAGAAAGTGAAGTCCATGTTATTAAATTTTTGACACTATTTCTCCTATGGAGTCATAACAATCCAAGTATTTTCCTTTTTTGTATGTCTAAACATTCTATTAGCATGGCATCAGCATCTTTTGATATTTCTTTCATACCCTTGCTTAATTTGAATGAAACCAAATAGAAGCTATGTATTATAGCTGAATTCAAGTGATTCCTGAAAAGAAAAACTCTGGGATGTAGCAAGGTAGGGGGAAAGATTTACCTTTCCAAAGGTAACATGTTGCAAGTGCTAAAAAGAGCATCATCTTCACATCAAATCAAGCAAGGTACAGGATCCAAGAAACAATGTGCCAAGAGGCAATTTCTCAGCAAGATGTTAGCATCAGAACACAAAGTGATGTGTCTGGAAGCAGAACTGCTGAGCTGCAAACAACCTGGGTGTGAGTCAGAGAATATTAGGACAGTGCCTGTCCACCAGGAATACAGACTTGATTGCATGTGACTTGTGTCAACTCTGGAGACATCAAGAGCAGAACATAAAAGCAAGGCAACAGAGATATTTCTAAATGAGCCATTCAGCCTCTAAGGCAATGAATCTGGCAACAACTCAAGTTTCAGGAAGGAAAAAAAGTCAGCATTCCAGGTTTATGTTCCACCGTTACATCCTTCATTCATTTTTCTCAGGCAAAATGTCACCAAAACATCATGGTTTAAATCATGAAAAGACACAATCAATCTCCTTTCAAACTAGCCCATAACTTTGAAACCAGAATCCAATTGCCTGTTCAGGCTCATTAGTGTCTTTGGGTCCTAATGACCCACTCAGTTGCAGTAAATGAAAAACTAATCCTTGTTTTATGCCATTGGCCCAAAAGGATTAGCAACTCTTGCTACCCCCACAATCAGCCTTGCACTGGGGGGATTATGACCATCTAATACTGTAAGTCTACACATTCCAATCTGTTACAATATGTAGCACTTAAAGCTTATTTCCTTGAAATACTTAAACGAATTAATGCTGTAGTGTAAGATTGTTTTCTTGGGGTGCAGTGATTTACCTGCCCCTGCCCCCAAAGCCTGCATTTACACACAAACATGCAGAGAGGTCCTGTTACTCCTAACACAAAGTTTTAATTATGTTCATGGTCTTGAAATGAAAAATTCAAACTATTTTTTTCTTTTTGCATAGAGCCCAGACTGGGGATGAAAGGATGGAGAGGATTTCTGTGGGGTTCAGTGCTGTGTTTAAGAGCACTGTTTATAGCTGGAAATAAAGCCACTATTCTACATAATGTTCTCTGAACTTCTCTGTGGGTTGTAACTCCAGGTTTGTACCATTTGCACCATTGCAGTTTTTCCAACTCAGAATTCTGGTTGCTCTTGTTAATCAGTGATCAATGAGATGACCCTACATTATCATGGCATAAACTTTTTGTTTTCCTCAAAGTATTCACACATTGCCATTGACAATTCAGTGTGGTTAAGAGACAATTTTAACACTCTCAGTTGCCCTTTTCATCCAGTTTTTCTGATATAAAATATAAATAACTCTTGTGGTTTTATCACCTTTAGTATTATACATAAAAGCACAACAAAATTTGTCCTGCAGAGTGTTATGCTGGGTATATGCACTTTAGATCCATATTCTTGGACTGAAGTTACAGAAAATTCATAAATTGCTCTGAACATGAAACTTGATTTTTGAGTGGGAGCAGCTTACTGAATGCCTTATTTCCTATTAAAGATGGTGTCTGAAGGCATAAAACAGCAGTACATGAAAATAAATCTTATATTCCACAGCCCCTGGAAGTCATTACAATAGTCTTTACCTCATAGTTTCTTAATTAATTTTTTAGTGTCAAACTTACACAGCAGTTGCTTATTTATCAGCCAAATATCCCTGAATGTTTGTAAAAGTGCTTTACATTTACATATCAGTAAAATTATCAGTAAAGAGAAGATGGTGCTCCAGATGTTATGTTACTTTAGATATTAAAATAATTTTTCTACTGGAAGACCACTTTGCAGGACAAGGCAGATGTGTAGAAATCCTCTCTATGTTATTTCTGATCAGAAAAATGACATTTCCATACAGCTGTTATTTCTGTGGGAGAAAGAAAACTGAGGCATCTGTGTCTTCCTCACCATAGAAGCAGCAAAGAGTGTGAATTTCACTAGTAAACTTTAAAGTTGTTCACTCAACAAATTCAAAAGTTTATTTATTCAGGTATCATTGTATTTCCTACAAGGAATTTCCTACAAGGTTGGTGACACAAAATATTTATTATAATATTTGTTTAACCTAATGGAGTGTGGCACATCAGCTTTTACAAGCAGTATTTTAAGTGAAGTGGTTTTCTGTCAAAAACATCATTAAAAACCTAAGTGGAACAGAAAAGATATCAGGCCTCTAAATAAACATTTACCTTCTGGTTAGGATACTCTTGTGAGATTCAAAGTCCAATCCCTGCTTATTGAAGAGGGGTTTTTGCTGTTAGTACCTTTGGGCTTGGCTGTGAGCCTGAACTCTGTTTCACTCCACGCAATCCAAGGAGGGAACAAAAAGGCAGCCCCACCTGCAAGGAGTCCCAGCACAATGCACAGTGTCACCATATTGTCACTTTGCTGACAGCTGCACAGCTTTGAAGGGATTACAGCTCCCAGCTGCTGCTGCTTCTGGAGCTTCCTGGGCTCCAGCTCAGCTGCTCACTTGTGGGAGGGATACCTGCAGTACCTGGTGTTTGCTCTCAAGCAGCCCCTGCTACACTGACCAGAGAATCTCTCTCCACTCAGCTTTCAGGCTAGAAATGGGTGTAATACACAATGGATGGGGTGTAAAGGGCAAACCAAAATGACACTGGGCAGTGAGAGGTGTGCCAGTGTCAGCAACCCATCAACACAACTGCTATTGGCTTCATAGGCATAACCAGGGACCATTTCTAGGTGGAATTTGACAGGCACCAATGAAAAAATCCCAGTGTGTATAAGCAGCTCATGGTCTTAGGCCTCAGAAAAGTATCCCAAATGCTGAGAGGGTGCCTCTTCTGAAGCAGCTTTCTCTGCTTTGTTATTAATCAGCCTATCCAATTTGTGTCAGTGAACATCTAGCAAGACCTAGGACTGTGGTTTCTCTGCACTTCAACTGCAGCCTTGACTTCTACCCTGTAACATCTTAGGCATGGACAACAGAATTCATCAGGAAAGGTCTTTGGTTATGGAATAACTGAGCAAACAAAATCAAACTTTTATGTTTCTAAATAATCTCAGAATAATTATCAGCAGTGTAAAATAAAAGGCAGAGAATCAAACTTGCCTCTACCTTAGGTTTTTCAGATTGACAGGTATGCAGAAGATTAGAAAAACTGTCTCACTTCTTAGCAGCTAGACTTCAGTAGGATTTCACTAAAACTTCCTGATTCACTTCCAGTTTAAAAAAATCAAATTTTCACAAATCTCTAGGCCTAAAATTAGTCCTGAGTCATTTAGAAGATTGGCATAAAAGAAACAGTGGCATAGATAATCAAGCTTTTGGTCATTAAGGGGTTTGCAGGGCAGCAGAGGGGAAGGGACTCTGCTCCCCTTGGGCTTTTGTAAGAGGAAAAGGAAAAAGGAAAAAAGAAAAAGAAAAAGGAAAAGGAAAAAGGAAAAAGGAAAAGAAGGGAAAGGGGAAAGGGAATGAAATGTTAAGTATTGCAATTGCATCATTGTTCCACTTCAGATATTAAGAAATACCTACAAAACTTAAATTACATTAATAAAAATGTTTATTTCAAATATTTTCTTAATCAGCTGTTATACATAGAATACTCAAGAACATTGTCTTTAATTCAAATTCAGCTTTAACTGCTACAACAGTCATCCTTACTAAGACAAGTAATTTAGTTTATATCAGAAGCTGAATGCTCTCAGAGACATTGACTTAACACTGACATTGACTTAAACAAAAATATCTACCCTAAAATGATATTTCTGTTTGTGAATGCCAATTTAGTAAGAGCATATAATAACAGTTTATGAACAAACACATTTCAAAGATAAGTAAGGAAATCTCAAAATGTGTGGTTGATGAACACACATTGCAGCAATTGCAATTATGTATTCTTACAAGAAATGGAAGGAGAAGAAATGCTTTGTACTTTATCTCAAGAAACTGGAAACATTTGTCAAGGCTAAGTAGGAAAATAATTTAAAGGAAGTCAAAGGTATTCAAAAGAATGTAAATGGCTTTGTATTTTGTGTGGAAGAATGAAAACCTTTCAGAGGAGGAGACTGTGGTGATCTCTGATCCTGTCCAAATGCAAATGAAAAACCAACATCATCTTTTCCATCTCCAAATGCATGAGAAGTTGATTCCGAGGGGAAGGGAAAGGTAAATGCATCCTCATTTTCTGGTTTCCCAAAGAAGCTACCTATATGGAATACATATAATATTTGTTATTAGATTAAATCTGAGCCAATACTGCATTCAGCACATGTTTCTTTATTAACTTATTGTGCCAAATATCCCACTGAGAATCACCCTACAGTTGTGTGTTTATTGCTGCACCAGAGATGATATTTCCAGGGGGTTGTTATTAGAATTGACATGGGATAAAGTGTGGAGCACTCAAAGGTTTAGAACAACAAAACACTTCTGCATGATACATTTTGCAACTGAGGTGTTTGTAAATAGAATCTGCAAAAGTGTTTATTTAGAGAAAAATGTGATGACTCATTGAAATACTTGGACTTTGTCCTCTCCCTTGCAAGTCCTCTCATTTTGCTTTAAACACACCTAACACTATCCCTATTTCTTTCTTTCTCCTACCTCTTCTTTTCCATGATACATCAGGCATTTGGAGCCCAACATGCAAGGGAAGATTTAAGCTAAAGGTTTAGTTAAAACACAAAAGAGCACAAAAAACCACAGAGCTACACTATCACAGCTGAACATCCTTTCAGACAACCAAAGGAGCTCTGTTAAGCTGGATCATGAGCCTGTCAGTCATGGGAGCACAAGCAGAAGAGAGCTGATATACACAAGTACATCTGAGCTTCAGACTTACTAATATCTTCATGTGAGGACGGAGAGTTCAGGTTTCCCAGAGAATAATTTTCCTCTGTCTGAAATGTAAACAGATTTTTTATTTAACAAATGAGAAAGGCAAAAGTAAATTTTAATGCTGATATGTTTGCTTTTAGTGAGAAAAACACACTCAGTGAATGTTAGCAGCTTTACAAAATCTGGATTTAAAGGTATTTATCAGTCCCTAAAGTTGCAAGGTAAGTTCTTTGATCAGATGGGTTTTATGATATTTGCATGCAGCTGCAAACACTCTTCCTCCATTCTTCTAGGAAAAAACCAGACTGATAACAGTCCAAAAGCTGACCTGACTTAATGGTGAGTTTTTAAACCAAATGTTTTCAAAACTATTCAAATTGTGACATTTTATAAAATCTCCAAGCAACAATACAAATACTTCCTACTGAACAGGGCCTCATATTGCCAGAAAGAGTAGCAGGATAACCACTTGTCAATCTTAAAATGAGTTCTTAGATTTAAAATAGATACTGAAGTTCTTCAAATTCCCATGTAACTCTAAAGAATCCCAGATCTGCCACAGCTGGTAAATTCTTGGTTTCTGCTGCTGAGCAGGCACAACATAATGTGGGTTCTGACAGCACTGGGTGACTTAAAACCCTCCTCATTCCTAAACAGTTCACAAACCACACACCAGTGTGCTCTCTCCTACACACAGGTCATGCTAAGCCCTGTCCTAAGCATCTACCCTGGATCCCCAGTTGTCTACCTAATAGCCCAGGAGAGGAAAAATTACTCTACAGCACTGCAAAGAAAATGGAAGACCTGGATTCCATTCCCTGTTCCATTCAGTTGCCTGCCTAGCTCCTGTATTTGAGTATAGCTAATCCATATTTGCTGTTCAGTAACCCTAATAGACTGTCCTTTCTTCCCTTCTCACTGTTCTTCACTTCATCAAGACAAAACCACACAGGAGAAGCATGTGAGTCATGAATTCTGCTAGAGGACTTGAATTTTGCACTGGAACACTGGACCAGAAGCCTTTTGGTGAATTGAGTCACTGTATATTTGTACATGATGAGAGAGATTCATAACCTAGACATTAAAAAATGCTTGCTGCAAAGATAGCCAGTCTGAAAAATCTCATTCAGTGTCAATGCTGTTTTGTTCACATATTTTGCTTCGTGGAAATGTAATGTTCACAATTAATCATTTTTTTTACCTCATCAGATGAATTTTGTGCTCCAAACAGAGAAGAATCAAATAAATTAAAGCCAGGTGACTTCTGGGAGAAGTTGAGGTGAGAAAAGAAAGCAGGAGATTTTGGTGTTCCTTCTTCACAACCTAAACTTTGAATGCTGTAAATACAGAAATGTAGAAACTATATTAATAGCTTTTTAAGTGCTGTAAATGGCTTTTTTCTTTTTTCCTTCTACTTTTTCCTTTTCCTGTTTTTTCACTATTTTACATTCCCATAGCTTCCATCAATAATTCTTTTTGCATCACAGAACAGGTAACACAATTCTTTAAAGTAAAGGGAGGTGGTATTCTTACCAACTCCATGCCCTCTTAACAAAAAAAAACCAAAAAGCCTGTTAAAGATAGAAATCAGAGTGACAAATATTACTGTAGAAAAACACAATGTGTATCATATATTTCTAAGCAAAATACTGATCTTTCAAAACAGCTTCAACTGGAAATGATACTGTAGGAAGAAAACGTAATAAATATCAAGCATAGCTTAGGAAAAAATTCTAAATATTTTCAGAAGAGATTTCCAGAAAATTATTTTACTAGTGTCTTTCAAAAACAGTATAAATGCTTATATAATAAGTGTGAGTACAAGTTTTTGCTCAGAATTAAAATAAAAGTTGAAATCATACGGGTCAAATAGAGGTGTTTTTAAGAAGTGTGGTTTTTTCCCCTTCAAGTCAGGTGTTTTAGGTGCTCTTAAGAAAAGTTCTGCACTTTCTTCTTCTATGTCAGGATTATCTTCAATTGGCTTAAAACCTGTGTGCACATCCTATTAAAAAGAAATATACAATGATGTTTATAACATACAACATTTCCCAAAATATCATTATTCCTTTTAACTGTAAATATGTTCTCAGTGGAGACAGCACTGAGGCTCTTTATTTATAGTTCTGTGCAAGAAGTGAGTTTTAAATGCTGACTTCTTTTCAAAACATTTCATCAGCTCACATTAATGAAAGTGTTATGCACCAATTGACACTTTACCAATTTCTGAGACTTGCCTCTTGCCAACTGAATCAAGTATGTCAAAATAATTTGACTATTCTAAATAAACTTCTTACTTATGGCATAAGAAATGCTTTTCTTACTTGAGGTACATACGAGCAGTCCATGTGCTCATCTGCTGCTTCATCAACATGTTTGGCCTCCTGGCTTGCTGCACAAAAAAGACAACACTGCCTGGATTATAACAGCATTTTAAACAAACACAGAAAAATGACATTGTGGGAAAGAATCCTTGAGAAAAGTTCACTAGCTTGGCATTGCTATTGGTAAGGAAGTGTTCTGACTGTGGTTTTCTCAACAACCCATTTTGTGGCTCTGTCCATAACAATTACCTCTTGTTCTGCCACTCGTTGCTGTCAAAGCATTACTCAGGCTGCTGCTTGTGGTTTGGTGTGTTCTTCAAACCTGCCCATTGTTCCTGAGAGTGCTGTGCTTGTCTACTCCAGCTATTACCCTCTGAGAGGGCTAATAGTCAATAGAAACAGGTGGGAACAATATAAAAAGCACATCCATGTGACAGTGATGAAGTGTAGTTTAAAGAACTGGGCAAGAGTCAGGAGGAGAAATGAGAAGAAACATTATCAGACTTTCTGCTATCAGAGTTTCAGCTCTAAGCTTCAGACTGTGCTATGTCTCAAGCACTGTGGGTTAAGGTCCTGTATTCTCTTTGAAAAAAAATCTAGGCTATAATCTCTTACATGCATCTAAATTAAAAGTTCAATTAGAAAAATAAGTATTTAAACTGAAACTCAGTTCCTTGTGATTTCAAAAACTACAGGTGTATTTGTAACTACCCTGGCTTTTTTCTGTAAGCATTCTGCATGTTTTTCTCCAGTTAGTTTTCATCTTTAATAATCTTGATCTGATTCTTCAAGATACCTAAATTACTGGGTTTATTATATTTATGTTCTTTGCATTTTCTCATGCCTTCTGGCTAGATGTTAAGACTGGATTTCATTTTACCCAAATCATTTGAGACTCAGGTGTGAAGAGATGTTGGACAGATCCTTTCCCTCACAATGGTCAGTACAGACTAAATCCCACCTTACTGAGCAGTTAAGTCTCTATTTAAATTAGGACTCTGCCTGTCTGCTCTACTCAAATTTTGAGCTGAACAATCAAGGTGGAAAGAAATGCAAATGGTGGCCCTCTCAATGCCAGAGTTAAAATTTGGTCCCTAGAATTTCCTAGTTTATAACCATATGGTTCAACCTTATAAAAAAAATTATAGTAGTACTTTACCCATTACTGCATTTCCACTCTCAAACTGTTGATAGGAAGTCAACTGCTTTGGAAGATCTGACAGTCTAAAAGACAAAGGTTAATGTTTGCCTAAATGTGAATTATTTTCATAAACCCCAGCCTCAAGAATGAAAGCTATTTTGTTAAAGAAAAGTTACCTGAATTTCACTTGTTTTTTTATGCTTACTGTTGATGGAACTCGGGCAATTTGTGGGCGATTAGTCCCTGCAGTGCCAATAACCATTGTCTAAAAAACAGAAAAAACTCACATGAGGCAGCAAGTGAAATTGTCACTTCAACAGTATCACTCTGATTTCTCCTTAGACTGTGGAAATCCCTTCTTTCAACCAGAAATTAAGGATCAGACAATGTAAAAACTTTGTTTTACCTACATTTTGACAGCATGATACCCTGTATTCTGTAATTTTCTAATACTTAGTCACAGCTCTGCTAACTAGATGTGGTTAATTAACTTTTCTGTAACACCAGTAGTGCTGTGCCATTTACAAACTTCATGCAATCTGCTGCTGCTGCAGCAGCCTGGTTGCTTGTGCTTGAGAACACAGGGCTGGAGCCAGAAATCACTCTGATTTCTCCTTAGACAGTGGAAATCCCTTCTTTTAAGCAGAAAGGTCTACTTTTAAACAGAAAGGGCTAGGGCCAGGCCTGGCTCTGCCTCTGGAGGCCAACTGAGCATCCACATCAGTCTCAGCTAGCACAGGTCTCATGTGGGATTGAAAAACTGCAGAAAATATGGAAATACTCCCAACCTCACAGAATTTCATCAGAGCAGAAGCCATCACTCTTCTATGTAGCATGTATTTGTGCCTTAAGGGCAGGGTGAGGAATCTATGCCTCAGCATCAAATAACACATTATTTTACAGGGAGTGTCTAGTTCTTGTTTCTTTTTAATTAACAAAATGTATCAACTGATTTCTATTCAGGGTAGGGGACAAAAGAGCTGGTTCTGCAGAATCTGCCTGCCTTTCAACTCCTGTAATGTACAGCACACCTTTTCTGAAGCATAGCAACCTTCTTTCTTCCAATCTTTTTATTTTTCCTCAGATTCCATCTTCTTTTCCTTGTTGCCATCACCCTTTCTTAAAGTTCTCTTAACCTTGACTTACTGCTTCCTACAATTGTCTAAGTGCAATTCTAGGTCCCAGACTCCCAGCCTCATCTCTAGATTACCCTGGCAACAGCCCTTCCATCATCCTCATCATCTCCAACTCCCTAAGCCAGTCACAAATCAGAATTGCTTGAAATTTCTTCTGGTCTTGCCCCACTCAATCCTGTCACTGTCCTTCCACTTGGTTTGTGTTATGAAGGCTTTGTCTTCCACACAGACTTCATTCTAAACCATTTAGTGATTACTCACCTCATTCTTCAGTTCCCTTGAAATTCATAACTGGTTATGCTAACTTTTTTTACCTGATTTTTTGTTGTTCATTAAATTTTGATTTTAAATCTATCCAGTGAGATGTCCCTTAGAAAGATGGTTTAGAGATAGAAACTTCCCCAAGCTTCTGCACAGCAAACACAGTTACAAACTCTTCTACCCCTTATGGCCTTACCTCCTCTGATTTCTCCATTTAATATTTTAACAATCTATTGCTCCTATGAATGGTCTTGCACTCCATGAGACTATTGGTGGTTTTCACAACTTTGCAAGTTATACCTCCAGCTTTCTTCTGGATTAGTTTATTGTGCTTGAATCATAAAGCTGCAATTCACTCCACCATTTCAAAAAGGTCATAGTAACTATGTTCTTATGTGTGAGAGATAGAAAACGGACTTGTGGGCTCCTGCAGTGCACCAAGGACTGTGGCTCATGGTTTTGTTCCTCTCAGCCCAGATTTCTGTTTCTGGTCAAACCTCAGAATGGAGCTGTTACCTGTGGGCTGTCCTGTACACTCAGTCCTTTATGAAACCTTCATTATGGGGTAGATGGCTCATGATTCATCAGTAACAGAAGGTTTTGATCCTCCTTTGAAGTTCCAAATATTTCCTACATACAGAATCTGCAGAGGTTATTTTCAATGCTAAAAACTTTTATACAAAATGAGTTGGTAAGATGGTCCACCTCGATTTGGCATTAGAATGCACTTTGTAAGAACACAGATATTTTCAGAATGAAAATAAAGATTTTTGCTGTCATTACCAAGCAATTGCAGATTACCTTGATTAGCAATTTACAGTGCTAACAGGTTTTATGTTAGATATAATACCATGAGGTATATTTGAAATGTTTTAGATTTAAACAACCACATAAAACAGATTATATAACTTCATATTTTTACCAGTGGGAGTGCAACACACCTGTGATAAATTTTCTGCAAGACTGGAGGAACTGCTGGTGGCCACTGAAAGTTCCACTGATTTTTCTTTTTCTTCTTTCCCTAAATTTACAAATATTACATAATATTGTCAATAAGATTAAGTATCCAAAGTATGGTATTGTTAAACAGAACTTGGGAATAAACTTTATACATTTTCCTTTTAATAGAGAGCAAAAAGAAACTTATCACAAAGTATGAAAGTACCAAACGAATGACAGCTGTTTAATATTTACTGTACTAATGCAAACAGTGTTAAAGGTATTTTAGATTTGAGATTAAATTCTTTTCAGATGTTTCTGACACCACACATTGGGTGTACCTGTTGTGTTATTTTACTCATTGCACAGACAAAGGAGAAATCAAACACACAAGATTTCCAGAACATAAATTAAGGTAAGCACCCAACTTCCACTGAAAGCCTGGATTCAACTATAAATAGTTGAGCAGCTCGCTAGGTTTGTTATCATCACTTACTCATTCTTTTGCACAAAAATAACCCAAAATGCTCACTGAAGTCATTAAACACACTGCACCTGTTTCTGGTCTTTGCTTTGAGAATCTAAAACTCTGTACAGACTGGACAAATTTCCGAGGAATGCACGGGACATGCAATGTTTTATACAGCTGATGTTTCCCCTTTGGCAAACATGGGTGTTCACGCTCTTCACACACCCTAAGCAAATTTAAATTACAAAGAAAAATTACTCATTGCAAAAGAAAAGAAATCATAAAATATAGCTGCTTCAAATAAGTGAAATTTTCAAGGGCATTGGATGTTGTCAAGGAAGTTCTACCACTTCAGCACCAGTAGTTGACAAAAATGAGGTTTTCTTTAAATAATATCAGAGAGAAAATATCTCTGAAAAAGAGGCCATAAAGGAGTAATAAGCCAATCATAAGAACATTGTTGGCTTAAATTTTGTCAGTATCAAAGAAAAGAATTAATATTGTGGAGTTTTGCACTTTAATCAAAGTGCCTCATTATTATAGTTCTGAAATCACATTTTCACATTTAAAACCACTTTTTCTCTCTCTGAGATTGTCTGGAATACTCACACTACACATACACAAAAGAGAAAACTGCAGCAAGTGTTTTCACTTGTGGGGTAATTATCTGTGTAGGGTAAATAGCCCTTTACAGTGCAGAAAGACAAAGGTTAGCAGAACAATGAAGAGTAAAGTGGCTGTTTGGCACAGGAACATTTACTATTTTTTAGAATAATGAGTTCTATTTTATTTTCTCTCTGGCATTCCTGCTTAGTGCCTCTGTGCTTCTAGCTACAACATCTGGTTTGTAGTTGACTGAACAATGCTGTTCAGAACAAATGAAGAACTGTGTCAGTCTTTTTGTTCTTCTTGAAATTCTCCATAAACAAAAATAAGATAAAATGTAGGATACACTTTATAAAATAGTGTGGAGTAAAATTAGCAACACTAATTTAAAAATACCACTGAGAAACCTGGCTAAATATAAGGACCTAATACATTAAACTCATATACATAGATGTGAGCTGTGTGAACTGTGCTCTCATAAAACCCTGAAAGCACCTCAGCCAAGCATCTCTGATGAAAGGACTATTTTCTCTTGCAATCACATTCCTACCTGGTGCTGTGCTGGACTGAGACTGAACAAACTGCACAAAACCACCTAAAAAACTAAAATCCAAAGTAAATCTTTCAGTTACATTAGCTCTAGATAAACCTGTGTCAAGAATGAATGCTACAGAAAACAAGACATGTGTGGCTGGTCTATCTGTAAATTCAGATGCAAGGAGTCAAAAGCATGGAGAAATCAGAGCTAAACACAGAACTCTGGCTGAGTTCTGTTTCACTTTGTTCCAAATGGCTCATTTTACCACAATCATCATTCAAATATCAGTTGAGCAAGGCTACTGTGCCTGAGGCCATCAGTTAGATTGCCATTAATAATGGGGGGTTGTGGTTGGGGGTCTTTTTTTTTGGTTGGTTTGGGTTTTTTCCCAGAACTTAGGGTGTCAATCTCTGTTTTTAAAAGTTCCTGGAGTCAGTTTCCTTGTGCTTCTGTAAAGCCTAGCAGACAACTCTATAGCTCTAAAGACTTACTCTCCATTAAATAAAAAATCCTCTTACAGTGCATGTCTATACAGAATAACATTTCAAAGGCAGAGCTACAAACTGAACTCAGAAGTTCTTAAGATATTCATTCTTTAAGTATCAAAGCCTTCCAAAAGAGCCTGCAGTTAAACTGTATGCATATGCACTACACCTGCTCTCTTCCCTCTACATAAGCACTAATAAAATATAAACCATGCACATCTTCTGACACTAATTAGTACCACCAGAAGAAAACCAAAACTGCATGGAGCTCAAAACAATCCAAATTGCAGCAACAAGAATAATAATTTTTCTTCTTTTTCTACTTCATTGTTATTACACATCTGAGTAGATAAAAACTCTTTATCTTGATCCATACTGCACGTGTTTTTTAAAGTGCAAAGAGAAAAATAGATATTCTTAAGCCAAAAAAAATTGCCATTTACTTAGTAGTATTTTCTTCTTTGTAGCATAAAGAAACCCAAGGATTAATATTAATTTCCACTACAGGAATCAAGTGTATCTCATTATACATATGAAGAATCACACCTGCTTCTGTGGTATTTACAGTTACTGAAACCACATCCAGTATTCTCATCAGGAGCATTCTTTTGAGTTGGCTCTTCATCTATGTTTACATTAGAAATTCAGAAACAACTTCATAAGTACTTTTCTAAGATTTATATTAGCTGTTTTTTTCCTTGCTCAGTAGAAGTCAATCACTTCTGATGCAAAGATGCTGCAAGAACTGCAATAATCCACCATGGAATCTCCTTTGGGTGAAGATGTAGCCAAAAGCTCTCACTTGGAAAGTAAGAGATGGAATTAATACATGACCAAATTGGAAAGAAAAAGAAATAAAGAATTACAGAGTCATGGAATTAAATGTCTCCCAACCATTTTACAAAAGCAGAGAGATTGAACACTCTATATGCCATAGCACAGTTCAACTACCAGCCTTTCTAAGTAATAAATGGAATATCTAATTGAGAAATCAAGACCCGAACTTCAAAAAGAGCTGAGTCCTGTTTGTTGATTGATGAGAGCTCTTGCTTTGGAAATTAAACTCTGGTGCTTGTCAGTGTAACTGCTGAGCTGTGAATCAGTGACAAGAGCTGGTAAGAGCAGAGGAATCTGTGTTTTACACTCCTAACCAGCACCTGGCCAGACCTAAGTGATTCAAACAACAGTGTTCCAGGCTTTTAAAGGAACTGTATCCCCTGTCATCCTGCTGCCCAGGGCAGAACATGTGTATCAGCCCCTATTCATGGGCTTGCAAGTTGGCTTCTTGTCGTGAAGCCTTCTAAAGGTTTTCATGGGTATCAATCTGTACAATCTGTTCTGCCCAGTGCTTTCATTGCTCTCTTTAGTTCTTTCCCTTGCTGCTGCTGGTTTCATGCTGGTCTGGACCACTTCATGGAGATTCACAGCATAATTCCTTTTTATTTCTTCTTCTTTTGTGGCAGAAGATGAAGATATCTCCTTTCTTCACAAATATCTTTTTGCTCAGTAGTAACTTTGTAGTGGCTGCAGGACAGCTTGAAAGAAACTCCTGCCTTTGGCACCCACATTCTGCTGTTTATTTTTGTACATTGCTGTGAGTCTGCAAAGGTTTTATTTCCTATGGCTCATTTTCTCTATACACAGTTTCTGACTGGGTTTTTTTCTTCAGAGTTCTTTTGTGACCCTGTTCACAGGGGTCTTAGGATGAGGGAAGAGATGAGGATCTGACGCCATGTTTCAGAAGACTTGATTTATTATTTTATCATATATATTATATTAAAACTATACTAAAAGACCAGAAGAAAGGATTTCATCAGAAGGCTGGCTAAGAATAGAAAAGGAAGGAATGATAACAAAGGCTTGTGTGTCAGACAGAGAGTCTGAGCCAGCTGGACTGTGATTGGCCATTAATTAGAAACAACCACATGAGACCAATCCCAGATGCACCTGTTGCATTCCACAGCAGCAGATAACCATTGGTTACATTTAGTTTCTGAGGCCTCTCAGCTTCTCAGGAGGAAAAATCCTAAGGAAAGGATTTTTCATAAAAGATGTCTGTGACATTCTTTTTTGGTTTTTTTTTACAGCTTCATGTTACACCCGTTTTTAACACCAACAGTTACTTGAGCAGTCACTTCCACGCTTTCTAGTGAAGACTTTGTTTAGTACACCAATGTAAGATAAAAATACTGAGAAGCCAATTTTATGCCATTTTCTACAAGTCTTTATGTTGTGGAACATACACAACTTCAGGTGAAGGTACAAGCACACTCCATGACAGGAAAATAAATGTACAAATGGCAGGTCTGGCAGTGCACCCTATGGATTCCTTACCACGAGGAGCCTCACTGAGGGATTCTTACCCCTCCACACCCAGAGCATGGATCTCTGCCTCTTACAGCAGCTCTTTAACTGGTGTTTTTTGTTCTGCAGACTTAACACACATGGGTTTCTTTGAAAATTCAAACAGAGTGTTTTCCATCTTTTTTTTTTTTACTTTGTCTTGAAACCAGGGGGATTTCTTGCTTTCCCATGTTTCTGTTCTTGCCAATTACAAAATTCTTACATGAGAAGGTAAAATGGGTGCAAAGGCTACACCACACAGAAATGATCATCTCAATGATTCATAGGTCTGTAAGAAGATACTAAAGACTTGAAAGACTTTCCCTGTGAAAAAAATATTACTAAAACTACACTTTTTTATAGATGTGTTCCACTAAATGCCTACTTAAAGCCCAAAAGGATTCTTTTTCAAGCACACCATAATACAAAATTACTTAGACAAAATTACTTAGACAAAGTCTTTCAGACATATTTTTCCTTTAAAATGGATTTTGGTCTAAAAGTACCAGCTCAACAGGAGATGTTTTAACATTCCCAAGGACTCTAGAGAAGTGCAAGATAGTCCTCATGGTGATTTTCAGTCATTGTAATTGAGCTCAAATTAAAGTGAGTCCCAGCTGTAAATGATCACTGACTAATTTACTAAGCCATTAATCCTGTCTATGAAACTTTCACTCATGCTTGTTTTTAAGAGCTAAATTAAGAGTTAAATTTCTTAAGTAGTTCAGAGGTGAAGACAACTGACATGTGGAACCCTGACTCCTTTTCCAAATACATATATTTAGTAGAGTTAATGTTATTTTATCTCTGACTGCACAGTCACTGCAGTTGCATTCAAAACTACTCACACAGATCTCTCAGCAGTAGCTGAGGAGAAAATGCTTCTACAAAATATTTTTATAGCATGTTTCCAGATCCATTGAGCTTCCAATAATCAAAAGTTGTCACTATCTTAACCTCCAGAAACATAAAACTTTTAAAATTACATAATTAAATCACATGACCAGGATTAGAGAAGCTTGTCAGTCCTTATTGAACAACAATCTGTGTTTTGTAGCAGTCTTTGTGTAAATTCTGACATAGTATTCTGGATAAAAGCAAGGGGAAAAAATATTTTGAAGTGTACCTTTCTTTAAACAGTTCTGGCTTCTCAAGAATTTTCTGATTTTTTCCTTCAATCTTTTTGGAATTATTTTTATCTTCTTTAGTCTCTCTGAAGCTCTTAAAAGATAAACAACAAATGGCAAAAAAATTGACAAAATTTGAAGTATTTTAGCTACATGCTGCAAAAGTTTTCTAAACTTGATGAATCAATGCTCAGTAGTAGTTTCTGTAGCCAAAAGGTTCTGAAGAAACGAGGAGAACAAGGTTAAAAAGAGGCAATTTTTTTTTGTTGGGTCAACTGTAACAACTGGAATAAACAGAGAAGTTTTGGAGCATGGGTGTAAATGTCAGAACCTGGAGCTCTTTACATGGTCTCCTTCATAGCTATAAACAAATTCACCACATCCCTTCTCTCTGTTTACACAGCACAAACCACATTGGGAACTTCAGTCTGGAACCAGGAGTGTCAAACAGGATGACAGAATATAAACAGAAAACCCACCTGTGCAAAATGTGCTGCTATCAGCACAAGGCACTGAATGGAGTCCTTGATCATCTGCTCCAGACAGATGGGTAAAAGCACCCAGATGCAATTCCCATAAAAAGTTACTAAACCTTTACAAGATTGGGCTACTCAGGCTTAGGAGAGACCTTTTACAGAGGAGTAGGTCCAAAATCTGTACTGATAAAATCCCTTTGATTATTTTGAAGATTCTCCCTTTGGAATCAGCATTTCTCCTAGTCAATCAGCCAGTTCTACTGCTGGGTGTTACATACCCACACATATATTTTGAGGAAAAAAATAAGGAGAGAAAGAATTTCCATTACCCTTATTGTAAACCATATTTAGTTAAACAAAAACCCTTAAAAAGCCAGTAGGAAAAAGAGTGTGCAGCTTTCACACACTGGGTGACAGCTACACACTCAAACCCTGGGGCTCACTGAGGAGTGGCCCTGATCCATTTTCAAATGTCTTCTCCTGAGCTGACACCAAAGTCATCGTGACACGGTGCCTTAGCAGAAACTGTGCCACAAACTGAGGTCAGCAGAAAGGAAACTGTAAAATCCTTCACATCCATGGCCCCCTCTTCTCTAAGAAAACACATGTGATGCTATAGAAATGTAATTATAAGGCTGGGATCATCCTGTTGTCTGTGAGACTGAAATACACTACTTTTTTGATGTTTCAGAAAATGTAACAGTGCTATGTATGACCACATATATAACACATATTTATATAAAATAAAATTAGGATACAGTTACCTTTTCTAAGCAGTCAATTTTCACTTGTAATTCTTCAGCTTCTTTTTCCAGTTTGATGGTTTCCTGTGCAGCAGCTTCAGCAAGCTGCAAGGTTTCCTGTGTTTTTTTCCTCAGAGAGGCACTTCCAAGTCATGGAATATATTTTTTAACAATATATGGAATATATTTTACAACAATATATTTTCTCAAGCAAGGGATGCCACCAGATCCCTGACCTCTCTATGCCATAACACAAATGGTAGAGGTGCAGGAAGCCCTAATAAATCTGCATTTCCTTGGCAAATCTTCAACTCTAACATCTATTAAGCTTCTCCTAAATGAAGCATTTTGATGGATATGTTATTACATGAAATTTTCTATTCTTTACCCAAAATGTTCCCATAAATTCAAACTGAATAGCTGACTTTGACCTCCAGTTTTCTCACAGAGAAATGCCAATGCTGCCACTCTAAACATAAATATATAAATATATAAATATATAAATATATAAATATATAAATATATAAATAATTACTATCTTTTCTAATAGAAAGTTGTGAAAGGTAAATATAAAACTTCTTTCCTGACAACTGAACAAACACTAGAAATCAAGGATACATACGTTCAGCCCAATCATTTATGGATGTAAAAGGAACAGCCTCTGCAAAAATAAAATTTACCTTCAGATCATTAACTAACAAATCAATTTTCTTAAACAATACAAGATAAATTAATAGATCAGGAGCATTTATCCTGGTTTAGTATAGATAACAAAGATTGCAGTATAACAGTAGTGGCATTAAAACAGCACTAAAATGCGATGAACATTAAATTTATAATTTTGAGAGGCTCGATCTAAAGAAATCTTAGAACTTTTTTACCCCAAGAAGTTCAATAACAAATCTCTCCCCATTACATTTATGGGTTTGAGGAAGCAGTATCAGTATGTATAATCTAAATTCTTATTTGCTACAGGTTTTTTTTTTCCCTAGAAATGGTGTGACAAAGAGAATATATTTTATTAGCTTAAAGGAAACTTTGGAAAATTAGAGATTTTCTGTATGGCACCTTTAATGTGCAGTGCACTGCCAAAAGGCTTTATTGCAAGAGCATTGGCAATAGCAGTACCCAGAATATCCAAGCAAACATCTTCTTTCCATTTGTATTTTTCAAGGCGTTTCCAAACTCCCTTTTGAATTTCTTCAACTTCTTCCTTTATTTGGTAATACTTCTGGGCCAGAGCAGTTTCTGTATATTTTTTGTGGTGCTCCTCCAAATTCATCCTACACTGGGTTAAGGAATCCTCATAGATTTTCCTATAAAAATACATGTAATTTAATTTTTTTAACAGGAAACCATTGTTTATAAGGAAAAAAACTATAAATTCTGGCATCAGCTCAGTTAATTTGCTGCTGTCATAGGAAGAAAAGTCAGATTATATGTAATTATTACATATAATTATATATACAATATATACAATATATATAATAATTATTATTATTAATAATTATTATTATATATACAATATATAATAATAATTATATATACAATAATATACAAACATTATATGGCAATGTTTGGCTTTCTTTTTTCCTTTTCCATCTATATTCAGGGAAGGCTATGTTGTATGTAACAAAGAATAGTCATGATGTAAAAACCAGCCAAAGCTCCCTGTTCTGAGGGGAATGTAGACCATACCATATTCAAAGGCAGCCTGGCAGATGACAAATGTGTTTTTGCCTGTGTAATTATCATGAAACTCACTGCAGGCCAAAGTCTCTGCTGGTGCATGTTGGCACAATTCCATCAGTTTTGGTGGAGCTGGATCAAAGTTACAGAGGGAAAGAATTTGGCCAAAGCTCCCATATTTAGAGCAGCCTGGTGCACCACTGGACTGAGAGCTGCCTCCAAGGAGATGCTGAGTAATCTCTGTGTGACTTGGGGAAGCCTTAAGCACACACATCAGTCACACTGAAACAACAGGACTATTCATACTTAAGGTTAAGCAAACACTTAAATGTTTAAGTGGCAAAGAGCCAGAACACTCAGCTTCTTGTGGGGCTGCCCTGTAAATTAATGTTACACTAAATGTAACTTCACTGACACCATGTGACCACACAGCTATGAATTCTGAAGTAGGTTACATCAATTAATGCAGGAAAAACTCATGTGAACAATGGAGAGGCAAATTTAAAAAAATAAAATTATTAGTACACCTAAGGATTAGCAAAAATTCCTTTATGGAAAGAACTAGGGTGCATAAAAGCAATTAAAGCCAGAAATCCACCTCTCAACCTGCCCCTATATTAAGGAACAGCTCTCACCACTTGCAGAGCAATGGGACTCCCCTTTAAGGAACATATTTTATCTCCAACTGCTATTTATCATTTAATTGCAGCATGACTGAAAGGCTGCATTTGAGAGTCCTGGCTGCCCACTGGCTGTGCCAGGCAATGGCAGAGAGAAAAACTTATGTCTAAATTCAATACTAGAATCTTCTGCTCTTACAAAAGGAAAACAAATTCACAAGGCAAAACACAGTCAGATTCTAATTTTCAAATCAAACTACACTCCAGGCAAGAGTTCCTGTTAAACTGACTGTTAAAATTTAGAGGAGAGAAGCTGTAGGTCAACACTGTGAATCAAACCTAGAAATTGATATTTCCCAAACTTCACATAGAAAATGACACTAATCTATGTGCTTTTCTACATAGGTGGTCTCAGGAATCTAAGTTTTTTTATTTACTTAATATTTCTGTATACTGTACAAAATTTCTCAGGTGTGAAAGATGAAAAATACTCAGTTCTATTTAATTAAATAGATGTTACAGCAATAACTGATCAAAAATAAATTTGCTAATAAACTTAGGATGCATTACAAATAGATATAAATAATATAAATATGTAAAGTAATTTGTTGTAACAGGTACATTTCAAGCTTATGAATATAATCCTAAAACTTTATCTTCTTTTCCCAAAATCTATTTTTCACAGATAATATTTGTGGCCATGTATTGTTTAGTAGTCTTGAGTAATCATCACTATTTTTAATATTTTCTCCAAGTAATTTACATCCTGCAGTTCATGCAGATAACACAGACTATTTAGAATTCACCACTGTTCACATTAATCAGAAAAAGTTTTAATCTAATTACAACAGGGAAAAGGCAGCACTCACAAGCCCCTGAACATTATGTGGATAGCAATTTATTACTTTTTCCTTCTTCATATCACTTATTTTCAGGATTAACTTCCAGTTCATAAATGCATTCTTATATGTTTTTGAAACCAATAACAACAAAAAATGTGGAACATTTTATAAACCTCCATTATAAGTGCCTAATTAAACATGAACTGATCTGCCCATCTTTAAAACACATCTTTCCATATAAAGCAGCATGTCCTCAGTGCCCCCAAAAGTCAGATTAAAAAGAACATTCAGCTCATAGAGTTCTAAAGACACTTATTTTCCTTCCTAATTTAAATATTTAGAATTTACTGAATGCACATCTTGCTGACTTGAACATAGCATCAAATGCTTTGGTGCAGATAGACTATATTTGGGGCACAGTTTTGAAAAATGCATGAATTAAATTTATTTTGTGATTTGTACTCATGATGTCTTACAATTAAGCTCAGGAAAACAGATCAAACACTTTCATGTTGGAACTGCAACTAGTTATCCAAAGAAGCAATTTAAAAGTAATGCTTCTTTGGCTTGTCAGCTCAAATTAGTGAAGGCCAAAAAGGCTTAATCATATACTCATAGAAAGCCAATTTAGCCTTATTTTTCACCAAATTTAGAGCTCTGAACAGGAAGAAGAAAGATAAGCTACTAAGTGAGTTAATTAAAGGCTCTCAGGCATGCTGTTTCTGCTGTCTTGGACAACTGGCAAAAAGAATGATTACAAAAAACTCCAAGGCAATGTTTTAAATTGCCTAAATTTTCAACTCTGAACTGGTATTTAGGTATCTGGAGGGGTCTGCCATGACTTCTGCACCACAGGGCAGCAGCCTCCACCCCCTGACAGGCAGAGCAGTGCAGGTGAGCAGCCCCCCAAACTGGAGATCAGTTTTACTTTGTTCAGTAGAACTTTGGAGGGTTACCTTGGCACAGCACATTTGGAACATTTCTGTGAGAATCTTCAGGGTCTGTTCTTTATTTCATTGACTGTAGGCAGCTACATTACACAATTAATAATTTCTTTTAAATTCTGAGTCTAATTAATGAAGATGAAAGAGCTGAGATGCCACTCATTGAACAGAATTGAATTTGCAATTAATGCTGACTAGAAGCTTGCCCACAACTAGTCTTAAAATGGTTTTAGACCAGGATTTTCTGAGCTATTTACTCATTTTTCAGGACCTAAGAGTGAGTTTGCATGTTTTGTGGTTATTTTGAAGAATATACAACAGTATACAAAAAACTTGATTTGTATATTCTGATAATGCTATGCAATTCATATCCAAAAATAAGGAAAAGCATAAAATTATCTAAATGTTTCTAACTGTTACCTGAAAACATTATTTTTATGTATTGGGCTTTTCTTGATACAGTATGCAAACATACAATTTTCTGAAAAATTATAATAGGCATTATGATGGGAAGCAACTGATTTTCAAGAATTCATACCATATTTCTTTAGCAATTAAAAAATAACATGATCTCATAGTAATGTAAATAAAAATTCTTTCAATTATTCAGTCACTTATAAGTGACTATAAACTGAAAAGTTTGCAACAATTTTTTCTTGCAGACAGCACTAGCTTTGCTGATCAGTTTAGTCAGTACTATTGCTGAAAACCTCATCTTATGTGATCATAGATACCTCTCAATTTCTGTGTCTTCCTCTAAAGCTTTCACTTCATTTATCAAATATTCTCCATGCTTTTGAAGAATTGCATAGGTGGGCCTCCAGCTGTGGACAAATTAAGCAAAAAATAAAAGCATATTAGTGGTCTTTCTTAGTAAAAAACATTTAGAAAAGAAAACACCTAGTTACTTTAGCTAGCTTGCAAATGATTTATTAATTTTTTGAAAGTTAAATATAAATGAAATCTTTTGCAGGCATACATTTATTTTGTTAATATTTTAAACCTGCAAATTCAAGAAGAAAATAAAAAATATATATATTTACAATTAAGAAACATTACAAAGCACTTTTTAAGAAATTAATGGAATGAATGTCACAAATTTTTTGAGCTAATGATAAGTAATGAGGCATCTAAATCCACATTTTAGGTCCTCAACACATCACCATTAATAAATCCTTTAGATATGTTGAATCTTCTTGTTGGAGACACCCATTCATTTTCACCAGTATCACCAGCACCCATCTCACACCCAAATGCACTCAGAATTTCCCCATTTGCCAAGCAAGTCCTGCTCAGAAGGCATCAAAGTGATTTTCCTGCAGCAGGAGGCTGTGGATGGTACTGAGAGCAGAGCAGCTTCACTGAATTCTAAGGACTATAGAAAGAGCAGGACTTTCTCAACATCCAGGCATTAGAGATAGCTCTGCCTTGGCTATGGGAATACCAGAAAAACAGGCAGGTGGACTTTCTGATTCAAGTGAAATTCTGATGTCATCTTTAGGAGAGGCATATTAAAAAGTTTTTGAAAAGAAAGAATCTTGTTGGAGGGAAAAAATGGTATAAGAAGCATGAACCATGCAGCACTCCTGGCACAAATTGTTGGACATCACTGGTGTCTTTCAATCACCACTGGTGATTAAAAGTGGAACTACAAAATGTTACTTCACCATGTGTCCTGCAAATTCAACAGAAAGCTGAATTTCAAAAGGGTCAGATTTTTTCAAAAGCAGAAACCAACATACTTATATAAAAATGTCCTTGCACACCACACACTATTTTGTTCTTTTACTCAGAAAATTCCATTACTTTCTATGGAGGAAAAAAAAAAACAAACTGAGCTGTAAAATTCATAGAGATTTTATTAATCAGAGCACAAGCCATGCTGTGAGTTACATTTTTCATTCACATCTATTCTGTGGACATGAAAAAACATGTGGTATAAGAACAGTGGTTTGTGAACACAGCCAGGCATGCAGGATTCAAGCAGCTCATTTACTTGTTTGCAAAATGCATCACTGCCTCATGGATGTCCTTGGTAGCCTTCACATTTATTTGTCCTTCCTTTCATCAGCCAGGGTATAGAAAAGATCTTTAACCACACTACTCTGAAAGCAATAAAATGATCCTGCAGTTTGTCTTGGCACAAGACAACAATTCTCCTAACAACATTCTGAGTTCATGTGGCTTTTTAAAATTATCTTCTATTTCCATTAAATCCCACGATCCTTTCATCCAAATTTAAAAATTGTAAGAGAAATAATAAAATTGGAATAGGTTCCATCAGCAGAATATCACTACCTCTTACCACTCTGGGATCAACATTTCTAGTTTGAATCCTTCAAGAAGCTAAATATTAGCAAAATGCCATCACTTGTCTAAAAATATGTTTCATTTGGGTCATTTTCTGCCTTCAGGTCTTTTTTACATAGACCAATATGGACTTCTTCAGAAAACACAGTATTATCCCAATACATCTATCCCATAAATCATATTTTCTCTAGACTTGCTGAATATAAGAACCTTGTATTTTGTTCAGAATCTTCAAAACTGCTTTGATATACTCAGAATGTCTTGTAACCCAGACAAAACGTTGCTTCTCTGAGAGCTCTGTTGAGCTCTATCACTGGCAATTAGTCAACTGTGAGGGTGATTGTGACTCCAAAACAGTATCTGAATTTACAAAACTAACATTAGAATCATGTCCAGTATAGATGGAGTGTCAACTAGAATAAATTTTAGAAGTTTGGGGTGATTCTACTGTGTAAGTGCTCTAATTGTCTGATCTTATAGCCAGGGCTTGTTTATTGCAGTTTTCAGTCTGTCGTTAAATGACATTTCCAATAATTTAAGACACAAAGTCTCTACTCTTCTGCAAGCATTGTCCTTCTATGAATACATGTATTCATTCATGAGTCACTTCTCATTTTCAGTCTCTTTACACTAATGCCATTAATTATTCTTTGTAGGAGTTGAGCCAAAACCCATTGAATTCAATGATTAAAATTTAGATCAGATCCTTAGTTCTACCCTTAATTTTTTACTCCTTCATTTGCATCACTTAACAGTTTGTCATTTGCAAACAGATTTTGCAGCCTCAAAAAAGATATCAAGGGAAGCAGTGGGGATAGTTTCATAAACTTGTGTTCATTTTATACTACATTGGAGGCAAGAACTTAATGTGATGGAAAAATAGATTTTTTTTTACCAAGGTCAGATCTTTTCCCAACTCATTTAATGGTAAAGCTACAAATCAGTATTGAATGGCAATTCATTCAAATAAGACAGCCACTACACCCACTTTATTCACTAATGATTCCATTCTTGCTTTTTCTTTCTGAAAGTTCAAAATAAACCTAGAAAGGACCCCAATGCCACCTTTACTTCCTTCTTTATTCTCAGAAACACCCACAGTCTCCATTCAAATTGCAAAAAATAATTTCAAATGTATGTCATAGATATTTTTATTGAAGTACTTGCCTTTAGGTATAGAATTGCAAGAAAACAAAACATAATTTGCCCAAAAAATCCTCACTACAGCTTTTGAGGAACTAGTCAGATTGTGGAGAAATGGAAAACTCTGGTGGATTTTATCAGTTTGGAAAAATTCTCTGTATTGTCAAATATAGATTTGCCTTTTCAGCTATCCTTGCAAACATCTGAGGTTTTAATTTTTAAAAATTACGTGTCAGGAAGATGAAATTCCTTGTAGCTAAACTGTGTCTTGAAAAGCTTCTGATTACTAAGATCCAAAAGTGATCAGAATTTAAAACTTGAACTAATTATCTGATACAAACATTTATGTAAGGAAAACTGTGAATGGCAGCCCATTGCATGCACCAAAAGATTGTGCCCCAATTTGCAGTCTGGAGCAAAACTGATACTGGAATCTGCCAGCAGAAACACACACGTGTGTGGAGAGCCAGTTATGGCACATCTGGTGTAAAAATATGGATAGAACAAAAAGTCACTTGAAACATATGATGAAGAAAGAATAGAAAGATGTTCAATTTTAGGAAGCCTTTTTTTTTAACAGCATTCTTAATATTGGTCAAATTTGACAAAACTCAGGTGCACCCAAGTGTAGAAAAATTATGCTTCTATTACCTTACTGCATTAATACTTTAGCATGCTGCAAAGATAGTACCTGTGATCTTCTGAAAACTGGGGATTTAAATAAAAAATCAACCTAAAATTAAATGTAGTCTGCTTTTCTATAATTCTTCTTCAGCAGATGGGTAATTTCTATACTTAAAGATTTGCAGTTTAAAAAAACCAGGAGAATACTAAAGTTTTCTTTAACATCACTGCTGCCAGAACACACCTACATTTATTTTTCCCTTCCTTCCTCAGTGACTTCCTTAGTGCCAGGCACAACTCAGAGCTCAGGCTCTTCCATACTCACGCATCACAGTGCCTCTTGCTGCTCTCGTTGTGCTTTTGCAAATCAGCAATTGCCTCGTTGCTTTTCTTTATATTTTCCTCCAACCAAGCAATTTCATTCTTTTTTTCTGTGATTTCTGCAGTGTACACTGAAATTAAAAAATAAATTTGAAAGTATATTCATGCATTTTCAACAAATCCATGAAACAAAAAGTCTATATTTAGAATGATTAAAAATTCCTTCCTAAAAACTTAATCTCCATAATGGCAGGTGAGTGGGCAGCTGGCAGTTAAGCAAGGTAACAACAAAGTCAGTCAAAACAGGGATTTTCAGCTGTGTGGTGAGTACCTTAATTATCATTGAATATTGTGACACTGCCATGATTTGTGCTGTTTCTGAATCCCAGTCTGTATAGAACTGAAGTAACTCTTAATGGTATTCCCCAGTTCAGTGTTCCCACTGAAACACTCCTCACTCTCTATCCAGAACCAGGACCCTCTTTCAAACATTTGCATTCTTTTGCAGAAGCCCAGAATGTCAAATATTCTGAGTGGGAAAGCTGACTACGATAAAGAAAAAATAAAAAACATCACAAAAGGCATATAAGCAATTAGTGGAAAACAGAAAGAGAAAAAATAAAATAAAAAGGAATTTTACTCAATTAGGAATTTGTCATATATGATAAATTGGTATAGGACACAGGTTAATTAATTAAAAAGCGCTTTATAATGACAGGTTCTCAAGGACTATGATATTTGTGGAGATTCTTAAGGCAAACTCTTAATTCTGCCTCTTCTGACAGCAGACAGCTTATAACACTTTCTGAATGAGTGGCTAGAGGAGAATCCATGTTGTTGAACATGATCAGTGTTCTCTTCACAAGTAAAAGCTGTGAGAGCTGTCATGCATGCTCACCTTGCAATGCAATAGGCACAACTTGGTGAATGCTTTTTCTCTGCATTTTCAAATTCTTTTTTTTCTATGCAAGATTTCAGATTTATCAGTGCTAAATCATCCCTTGCTATCATTGCTGCCCTGAAGCACTAAATGCCAGAGTAGGTGGCCCTACAGAGAAGTCAATCACATCCTGCCCTTCTCTCATCTACTCCATTGGGAAGAGCATCTTAGTGATGCAACATGGGCCTTGAGTTGTTGGAATTACTGCTCTGAAACTTCAGTTTTCCTGAATTTTGGCTCTGGTTTTGCACTATTTGCTATATATTAATTTTCAACAGCATCTGCATTTATAGCAGAAAAATAAACCACTTCTCACAGAGTCAGACAGTGAAAAGAAAAAATTTCTCAATGTCATTTAATATCTTGGGTTATCCTTAAGTTATCTTCAGTCCCTTAATATTTTCAATATCTAAAGTCAGTAACTTGTCTTTACTCAGCATGAGGCATAAATATTGGACAACTGACATGGCTTCATTTCTGTAAATAAACAGCTGAGTGTAGCAGAACCCTGTAGACAACTTTTTGAGATTTACCAGAATTTAAGGTAACATTATTAACAAAATAAACACTTCACATCTCATTGAGTATTTTTTTTACAGACAAGCACTTCTGTGAGTTGTTCAACTCACCCTGTGCTTTCACAAGGACCTGGTGGGTGAGATCCACCTCACCCCAAAGTGCAGGGACCCTCTTCAGAACAGCTCACCCATGGCTGCAGCTACACGCAGCTGGGAGAAGCTGGCATTTTAAAAGTTGACTTTATCTAACCCACTTTAACCTGTTTCTTCAGGATAAGGTAAATCACATCCTAAAAGTGCCTGTTTCCCTCCACTGGTAAGAAAGGGACTGTAGCCAAAGAGCCTCATGAATCTCACACCAAAAGTCCAAGGCTGAATGTTACAGCTGTTCATCTGCCAAGTAATACTCACACAGAGACAAAATTACATCAGTGTTGCTATTTTTTGCTAAGTTTTTGGAAGACTTAACCCAAGCTGCTAAAAGCCTGAGTGTTGGCTGTGTGTTTACACATATTTAGGTATCTCTGAACACAAAAGCAGCTATGCCATGTTACTACACAGCCTCTGGGTTTTCTCTAAGAGCATTTACCCTAAGCCTGCATAAATGTTAAGAACAGCCTTATCTCTGAGTTTCAGTTGTGTGGCTGGAGAGTTAAACCAGAATCCAAGGTGTGCCAGATTTAGTGTTACAGATGTTTTCATGTTTAAGGTGCTTCAATTTAATTGTGATAATCTTCCTAATGAATATGTACTTGGACATATCAGTGAAGATTATTAGAAATTTTATAATCAAAAAGAACACCCATTAGACCCGAATTTTCTCTTCTGCTTTTTTTTTTTTTTTTTTTAATGGAGGTTATGTGCTTGAATATCTACCTATGGAGTACCAGAGGTGAGCACAGATGTTCTCAGATTGTTTGTGGTAGAGAAACTATTCTTCAGACTTCATGAAGTGATTCCACATAGCAGCATGGTTAAAAAAATCAGTCCAGACATAAGTCCATAGTATTGTGTTGTCTGGAAGCCCTGGGACAGAGCAAATTTGATGCAGAGCAAGACTTTCTCTTTGGGTTTACTGTTTTGAATTTCAAATAAAGTAACCAGCTGCTTGATTGCAAAAAAAGAAGAACAAGGCTTGAGTACGTAGTAGCAACTGAGAGAACTTTCATTATTTCAAGAAAACAGAAAGAGAGAAGATGTAGTGAGGCAGAGGTCCAAATCTGGAAAGAACAAAAACCATGAAGAAAGAAAGGGAGGCAAGTGGCAGATGTATTGAGCAAGCACAGCTGAATCAAAGGGCTGCCAGTGACTGTGAGGAGCTGCAGAGTCAGAGCAGGAAATGGCGCAGCATGAAACTGCCTGTCCATGAGGCAGCTGAGCAGCCTCGGCTAAAAGTGTTGAGCAAAAGCAAAGTCTGCTGGGGAGAATGAGCAAGTATTGATGGCTAAAGACGAGGCAGGGTGAGAGCAGGACACGGGACAGCTTCCATTGTTTATCCTGCTTCCGCCCCCGAGACACAGAGCATGTCCCAGGATTAACGGAACAAAATCGGTGTTCAGCATCCAGTAAAATGATCATTTATCACTACTCACAATTTATCTGATGATCCACATGTTCCTTAGCACTGCGATTCTTTTCTATCTGGGAAGCTTAAGAAGAAAATTAACCCTTCATTATATACATGTATACGAGTGGAGTTGTGAAACAAACATGCTGTGCAGCATTAATTGCGCAAACTCTAATTAACAACTATTTTAGCAAAATATCTACATAGAAATTTTCCTATTAAATACCTGTCAGGACTCCTCTCCACAACCTCCCAGCTAATATTATGTAGCCAAAGAACAAAAGCTTAATATTACACATTTATTTGAAGTTAATAAAACTGTTTAAAGCAGAAAATAAAGCTGACTTATGCAGTGCATAAGTAATTGTTAATAAAAAATGTATGATATAATGACTTACCAAACTCGACCAGAATTTTGTCCAAGCTGATCGAAACCTTGCCATTCATTTCTTAAACTTCAAAAGAAAAATGCAATTCAAGGATTTACACAGTCAAAAGCCTTGTTGACACAATAAACAAGTCAAAATTGCAAGACAATACCACACATTGTAACATAAAAGGGAGAAAAGTAGTTTTAACTGCATTTGAATTACTATCTAGTGGAACCAAATGTCTCACTAATGGTGGTAAGGGATTTGTAAGAGTCGAAACCACACTTAGGGAAAAAGAACATTTATAATTTAGGTAAAGCGTTGCTCCTGGAGCAGTTCTGTTTGAGAGGTTTAATGTTCTCAGAAGGCAATGAAGAATGCAAGGAGAGATGTTTGTGTACAAGATGTGTAGCCCGTACTCCAGCTGGTTACCAAGCCTTTGGACTGCAGTGCTGCTGATGGAAAAGCTCCTTCAGCATCCTGCACACTCCTCCTGTGCCCACACTCCACCACGTCCATTCAAATCAAAGGTGTGGGAATGCTAGGTGTGATTAAAACAGAATTCTCACTAAATGGAAAACGGACTGTTATAAATCCTTTCTTCTGTTTGTACCGTGCTGCTACGCGCAGAAATTCAGTTTTTGGAGCTGGGGGATGATGGCGATCTCTAAAAGGGCTGCAAACACCGTTCATCAGGACGCTCCGGCCACAGCGCGTTAGCTCAGGTGCATTAACAGCGAGCGAAGTCGGCCGGGCTTTAATTGTCCCACCGTGGCTTCCCCATCGCACCGCGAGAGGAGCAAAGCCAGGGCAAATCGGTGCTGAGGATGAGACCCTAATCCGGGATCAAGTGGAATAGAAAACAACTGCAGAATTGGACTAAAGTGGCATTAAGGCTCCATCCTGCAGCACTGGGGCGGCGGGAGCAGGAGGGGGCGGAGGCAGCGTTTAAACGCCGGGTGTTTGACAGAAATGAATTTGTCCCATAGTTGAGGGGGGATCAGAACACCTAATCCGAGGGACTGGATTAGCACAGGCTGCGATAAAAACTCCGAGAAAGAGATAATAGTTTTACCAAATGTATTTAAAGGATTGAAATCCTAGTACCTGAAAACACTTAAGGTAGCAAATAAAAAAAGTCTTCTGAAAATACGATGAAAAATATTAGGAAATACTACCTCAAGCCACAGATCAAGGCAGAATATTTTTGCTTTCACACCATGTGAAAAAAAAAATGTGAAAAAAAAGTAATTTCTTACTATTAAAAATAGTTTGGAGCATGAATTAAAAAGGTGTTCTCAAGAAACAGTTTAATAGTGTTTATTAGCTGGTTTTCTGAAACTTCCCATACAAACTGTAAGATATTGGGGTAAAGAAATTTTATTTATTGTTTTATAAACTGCAATACAAAGTTCATCAATAGAGCAGACTATAGCTGTATATTATTAAGATAGAGACTACTGTATTATCACAAAAAATACAAATAATTTTACTTTTTGAATATTTTCGTAGCGTACTAATGTTTTTGTAGAGAGAACTAAAGTGTTTGTTTTCTTTTACTGTAGTTTTAGAATAAGATTTATAAAAAGGGTAAAGTTGCAGAAAATAGCGCTTCTGAAAGCATGAATATGTAAAATATTTATTTTTCTGGTATTGTTAAAAAGAAGTAGTGTAACTGCGAATGTCAAATGCTACTCTGTGCTGTGAATTATGAGGATACAGGTGTCACTAGTAGAAAACGCTGAGAAATTCAATGGCACTGGTGATATATATGGTGTTTGCAGACTTTAAAAACAGTAGGTAACACCAGCCTGCAACAAACTTTTGAAATCTGATGTCTTCCAGGATATGACTGTAGCAAAGACTGATTCTTGGACATACTGCAGAAAAGCAGCATCAAACCATCAGCCAACTCAGGATGTTGGCTAATTCAGAGGAAATTCTCCTATGTGGCTGAATTTTTTGTTAAAGATAGATGTGTAATACACGCAACTGGTTAAATCAGCTTCAGACTGCATCTGTTCTTTCTAATGGGGCTATTCAGAATGCTGCCAGGAGAAAAGTATTATTATGCATTTTGCATTTTTGCACGGCATTAATGTAATTACACGGAATTCAATCACGGCAATAAAGTTTTATCTATTAGAAGATTGTATTTGCTGTAGAACCCACAAGCAAACTGCCTGATGTGGTCTCAAGGCATTTTAGCACTAACATTAATAATGGCACTTCTCAGTAACTCATCTGGCAACAGCCAGGCTCTTCATTAGAAGGTGGAAAATGCCCATAACCTGTGAGGAAAATATCTTCCTTAAAATCCACATCTCGGTTCTTCCAGTTGTAAACTGTGTAGCAGTATTAATTCCAGTTGGCTTTATAGTAACAATTTTCATTTTAGGGAGGTTCTTTTGAGAGCAAACCTTTGCTTCTCCAGTGTACTGTTTATGACTGTAAAGAGACTGGTTGTTTGAATCTTCTTGAAATTTAGAAGAGCTTACATTTCGTGACTTTTTATCTCTGTTGATAAAATAAAATAAAAATGTGCCTCTCTTCGTGTTGTTTATGCTCCTTTGCCCTTCTTTTACCACACTGTTTTAGGAAACCCTGGAGAAGACCTGAACCCCTTGAGGAGACCTCAACCAAGAACCCATTGGATTGCCACAATTTACTTAGTCAGGACATACCAAACAAAAGGCTTTCACTGCAGATGATTCCCTAAAGTCTTGGGGTTTAAAAATTAAAACTGTTTTTCTTAAAAGAGAAAAAAATGGGGGAAACCCCCATCCTGTGGGACGCCACAGGGGCTGCGGAGGAGCGCCACAAAATGGCGGCGTGAGAACCGGGGCCCGAATCCCTCAGGGCGAAGAGCGCGGCCGGGGCGCTCAAGGGACCCTCTGCCTTTGGGGGTCCATCGGCACCGGGAAAGCGACCAGAACGCGGCGGCTCCGCATCGTCTTGGGCTCTGCCAGAAGGGAAAGAGCGAGGAGCCGTCCAGAGACTCACCCAAGGACGAAGGGACCAAACCCCCCCCGCACCGCCGAACGCTGCCCCTCAGCGCAGGCCGCGCCCCGCGGGGCAGCCCCTGCGTCCCGGGGCACCTCAGCCCCGCCGAAAGGTGCCGAGAGGGCGGCAGGTGCCACCACCTGCCCGCCGCGCTCCGGGCCGGGGCGGCAGGAGCCGGGGTAGCCGGGCAAACCTGAAGCAGCTTCGGCCGTCGGGAGAAGAGGCTGAGCCCTTTCACCCAGCGGAATAACCGGGCGGGTTTATCTCCAGCGGCCGCGGCGCTCCGCTCCCCCAGGGACACATCGGCGGGGCGCCTGTGCCCCTCAAAGCACCCGTTTGCCTGAACAGTGGGACTTAGGAGGGAAAGAGCAACATTTCTGAGGGCTTCGGGCGAAAAGCGATGAGGATGCTCCATCTACCGGGGGCAGCGCGCAGGTGGGCGGTGGCCGGGCGGGGAGAGGAGGCAGCGCCGCTAGAACGGGACATCGTCTGGAAGCCTGCTGGGGGTTATTTACACATATACACGCTCTGGGATGTGGCACAAAAATAGGGAGCTGCAGAGTGTAATGTGCTTTATCCAACCCTCCAGGTCCTACTCGTGTTGCTGACCCAGCTGGTGGAAATCAGCCTAAATCCTCCTTCCCTCAATCCCTCACAGGCCCGGCCCTCAGATAGTTTTAAAAGGCATTAAAGCATCTCCCTTCTCATCCCGGAGCAGTGTTTCACACTAAGGATGCTGTGGAATTCTGCCCCTTGCCTCAACACGAGTTGTGCTCAAAAAATTGTCGTGTTTGTTTGTTTGTGGAAGTGTAGCATTACAAGGCAAAAATGCACAGTCCCGGAGTGCAAGAATCTAGAACATGATGCTTCCCTCCACACTTGGTTAGGCATCTAAATCAATCTCAATCTAAATTGAACTATTGAGGCAGAAGATGGATTAAGATTATCAGTCAGCAAAGGAAAATAAATTTGGGGTAGGGTACAAACTGGAGGGGAAAAAACAATCAGCCGATGAAAGAAGAATGGATAGAGAAACAGGAGTGAAGAGAGAGACACACAGAAAACTCTCTCTGCCAACTGCAGCCCAGGCGTCAGTCAGGTGTGATGCTGCTGTCAGAACACTCAGCTCAAACAACAAGAAATGCAGCTTCAGAGAGAAATAGATGAGCTACCTGGCTTCTGGTCAGCCATGAGGAAGGGAAATAAAAAAGAGAGGGATATGGAAAGTGGCGTGTTCTTTTGGAAGGAAGATGTCTGCGGCCTCTGCTCCGTGGTGAGGCTCTGTCCTTTCCAGGAACATCTCCACGCATCTCCCCTCCTGTCCTGGGGAGTGAGAGCCGCCTCCTTGTCCTACTCCCTAGGGACACTGTAATTCCTAAATGCCTCTGAAACTCTGCATTTGCCTCTCCATCTTCCCATAACATTCGATTTCTTCCCCAAGGAGAAATGGCTTCAAAGCTTAACCTGCCTTAAGCAACTCCTTAAAGACCCTCTAAACTTCTCGAATGAACGGGAGCTTGACAGCAGAGTAGCAGGTAACTACTGATAAGATGTTCATTAACACCTCGCCGCGTCCCGGTGATTTAAGTAGTGCCAAGGGAGGCTGAGGTTCCCACAGACCCAAGGACCCAGTTCACCCGGAAGGTGGGCAGTCAGTTCAGCAGGCTTTGGATAAAGCCGGCAGGGACTTCCCGGTTAATTCCTCCTAGGCCTGTTCCCAGCGGGGCTTGGCAGGGCCCGGGAGCTCCTTTACCCATCTATTTATTATAAGGATTCCCAGGCCGAGGTTATCACTCTGTTCCCACCAAAAAAAAAAACAAAAAAAAACAAAAAAAAAACAAAAAAAAAAAAAAAAAAAAAAAAAAAAAACCCAAACTTCTGAAGCTGCAGAAAGGGGGATTTTTTGTGCCGCTGTTTTTTTTTCCTCCCGTTTCCCAGCAGAATCCCTCTAAAAAGTCCCCAGCTAACCCCGAAGCTGTAAACAACCACTTTCATTACCGATGGCAAGAAGGAAGGGCTCTTTCATAGTTATCATCTCTAATCAATGATGAATGGGTTGTATTGCTCTGAAAA